CAGACAGACAGACAGACAGACAGACAGACAGACAGACAGACAGACAGACAGACAGACAGACAGACAGACAGACAGACAGACAGACAGACAGACAGACAGACAGACAGACAGACAGACAGACAGACAGACAGACAGACAGACAGACAGACAGACAGACAGACAGACAGACAGACAGACAGACAGACAGACAGACAGACAGACAGACAGACAGACAGACAGACAGACAGACAGACAGACAGACAGACAGACAGACAGACAGACAGACAGACAGACAGACAGACAGACAGGTAAGCAGGTAGGCAGATATTGCCGTAGCGAAGCACTTTCAGAAGTTACTCTCTGACATATTTAGTGGACGGCGAGTGCCAGTTTGTTTCTTTAGAGCTTTTAAATACATTTTCATTTATTTATAATAATAACAATTAATTAATTTCAAAAATAATTATATTTATTATGTACATTAATTATACAAAATAGTGTTGGTTTTTTTTAGGGATGTCAACTTACTTTTTAGAGTGATTTACATAAAGAATTATTTTTCATTTACTTTCAGAGCTTGCCTCTAACGCTGATAACATGTGGAGGTTACTAACTCTTCGTTCTAATTCTTCCTCGAGAGACCACGATCTTTGCAACACTCAAAAGTATTTTTCCAATTTATTTACACTATTATTTTAAAGAACCTTGAAGATGCAAAAACAAAAACAATCCATCAGTATGAACAAAAATGACATTGTACTAAAAGTCTTACTTTATAATAAGAAAGGTAATAAAACTTAATTATACTTTCGACAAAACCTTTATACAAAAACATCTAGATCTATTAGCTTGTATTTATTTTCAAACTCACTAAAAATTAATTTTCATTTAGAAAGTTATTTTTATATTATTTTAATTTTCGTCCTCAAGTTTATTAAATTTTATTATATAATCTGGGGTATAGTAAGTATGCATAAACACAAACACAAACAGAAACACTAACTTTACCGCTAGCACGAAAAAAAACACAAACACAAACACAAACACAAACACGAACCCAAACACGTACACGTACACGAACACGTACACGTACACGTACACGAAAATAAACATAAACATAAACATAAACGTAAACGTAAACGTAAACGTAAACGTAAACGTAAACGTAAACGTAAACGTAAACGTAAACGTAAACGTAAACGTAAACGTAAACGTAAACGTAAACGTAAACGTAAACGTAAACGTAAACGTAAACGTAAACATAAACATAAACATAAACATAAACATAAACATAAGCATAAGCATAAGCATAAGCATAAACATAAGCATAAACATAAACATAAACATAAACATAAACATAAACATAAACATAAACATAAACATAAACATAAACATAAACATAAACATAAACATAAACATAAACATAAACATAAACATAAACATAAACATAAACATAAACATAAACATAAACATAAACATAAACATAAACATAAACATAAACATAAACATAAACATAAACATAAACATAAACATAAACATAAACATAAACATAAACATAAACATAAACATAAACATAAACATAAACATAAACATAAACATAAACATAAACATAAACATAAACATAAACATAAACATAAACATAAACATAAACATAAACATAAACATAAACATAAACATAAACATAAACATAAACATAAACATAAACATAAACATAAACATAAACATAAACATAAACATAAACATAAACATAAACATAAACATAAACATAAACATAAACATAAACATAAACATAAACATAAACAAACATAAACACATCCAAGATTACAATCATAATCCCAACCACAACCGTAATCACAATGACAAATTTTTTTTTTATCTTTTTGAATTTATTACGGTAAAATGGTGTAATTTGTATAATATTTCAGATAAAATTACATTTTCTGATGGATAATATTTTTTTTTTCAATTTTGTTCTTTTCATTGTATGTCAACTAAAACATAAATTTAAAAATTGGTGTTTTAAACTATAAATACTGAGTTTTCTAGTAATCAATTTATGTAAAAGTATAAAAATTCAAGTTAGACAAAAATGTGAAGCATATCTGTATTTTTTGCTTATCATACTTTTAAGTTAATTAAGGGTAAAATATTATTATTTTAATTAAATTACTTTAAGCGCCTATATATTACTTTAATATTTCTATTTATTTTTCATATTGTAAATAAACATTTTGAATTTTCTGTTTCAAAATAAACTTGATTTTCTGTGTACAATTTTACTTTCTCGTATGCAAAGTATAGAGGAGGTATTGTAATCGTTAAAAAAACTCGTTTTACATCTCACTGTGCAGGAAAAATTTAGTTTGGCAATTTTGTCCGTATGTTTGTGTGTTTGATAGTGTGTATGTGGGTGTGGGTGTTTTTGTGTGTTTGTGTGTGTGTACAGCAACCCTGTACAGAATATTTAATATTTAAAATATGTTTAAACATCACAAACGACAAGCGATTGTAGACTCCGCACCATCAATAATATACTTTGGTCTGGGTACAATCCACCTTCAAGTCTCTGCAAACACATTACCATTTACATTCCCTGCGTATAACATTTAACAATACACACAGTAAACATTACCTTTGAAAGCAATTTAATAAAAGAATACCGGTCATTGCCTTCTACTTTAGATGGGACGTCGTTTCTCTCTCCTTCTATACAGCTTGTCGAAGGATTCCAGGCTGCATAGTATAAGTTGTAGAAGTAATGTCTGACACATGAGCCCTCGCACCGCCGTCTTGCTGTATGCTCTGTCCCGGAGTAAGACCAAATAAGATATCACCTTATTACCCTAACGAATACGACGCGTGCAACGTTTGTACGTGGAAGATAAGCGTTGCAACGCTATCTTCCGTACTACTCCAGTTTCTAGACTTTCAGGTAAAATTAAAAGGCAAAAACAGTCATCATTTGTAAAGGTCATTCATATTAAAAGAGCAATTATTTAATTTCACGTTATTCGAAAGTGTAAAAACTGTGGCAACTATAAATAAATTTAAGTTGTTATATAAACAAATCCTACTCAATTATGTATAATCAGACAATGCGATGCATTGTAAAAGTACTGCATGGTGCGATGTTTACTTTTTATTGTTCCAAAATCTATAGCGATGACGGACTGACACACTACCTAGCCGCTTATATTATATATATATATATATATATATATATATATATATATATATATATATATATATATATATATATATATATATATATATATATAATTTAAGATTACAAACTAGTTTCTAACAGTTGCTTCTTACCTATATTCCTTTCCGTCATCCTTCGATTTTACTTTCTCGTATATACGAAGTATGGAGAAAGTATTGTAATCGTGCACAAAAAATAACATGAAATTTTGAGAGTTTTCACCGTTTTACTCCTCAGTCCTTCATCACATCCGGAGTATAGAGGACTTATTTTAATCAGGCAAAAATTATAAATACAAATGTATAAACGTTTTGGCCTTTTATGCGTTATCGAGTCGTGAAAACTGGACTTTACAATTCTGTCCGTATGTCTGTGTGTCTGTGTGTCTGTCTGTGTGTAAACACGATAACTTGAGTACGGTTACAGCTAGGTTGATGAAATTTCATATATAAGTATTTTATCAAAATCGTAGATCCTGAACAACTTTTGAGCGAATTCCGATAACCGGAGGTGGTACTTTTTCACCTTTTTCAAAAGCCTATAAGTTGCGTACTATTTTAGATAGATGCATGAAATTTCACACGTAAGTAAAAGATCTAATATTCTCTACCTTCTATCAAATTTTGAGTAATTTCCGTTGACCGTAAGTACTAATTTACGCTATTTCCGATTTTTCAAAAAACGCATGTAAATTTATAAAGTACTAATAATATCCCGCACTTTTATACACATTTTATTAGGCGTTCGCTTGGTGTGGGACGAATTGGTCTAGCGGTAGAGTTATCGTTTTTACACACAGACAGACAGACACACACACACACAGACACACAGACATACGGACAAGATTGCAAAATTATGTTTTTCCGTATCAGTTAGGTGTAAAACGTCGAGATTTGTTAAAATCTCGATTTTTTTTTTTTTTTTTTGCACGATTACAAGACTTTCTCTATACTTCGTATATACGAGAAAGTAAAAATGAAAAAAGCTCTATTTTTATGCCTGAAGTCTGCAATACATAAAAATACATAATAAAAATAAATCTAGTGTTTGTCTTGTTATTATATAATTTAAAACAATTTCATCTACTTTTAATACATGTCTACGTTTTACCTTTACTCACATATATCGTGAGACGGATATACCGGCTCAGGAGTTGGACTCCCATTAGCCAGGCAGGCCTCGACGTAATGAACTCCAACTAACGGGCCAAATTTGTTGACTGAAACAGTCTCACGAAGATATTGGTTTGAAACACTACATGTTGGTCGCTTATTCATCCTTAGGTTTTCACCAGGCTTGTCCTTCTCCACCCACCCTTCCCCACCAGACGTGGGAAATCGTCCTACCGCCTGGTACCCAGCTTGATCGTGGGGGGGGGGCGTTCGGGCGTAAAAAACAATCGACACCACTCAACACTAGAATTCATTAAAATTAATAATTTAAAATCAAATTAAATTAAATTAAACACGTCCCATTAGATCGGGAAAAAACCAACTCGATACATCTATTTCATGTTATAATAAAGTTTTGTTTTATTTCAAACTGTAGGCTTACACAATAAAACATTTTTTAACTTGTCCATAGAAGTGTTTCCATAATGTATAATCACTGTAACTAATTAATAAACACAGTTTTAATTATTGTGCTACAACCACTTTGTATTACTTTAAAACTAAATATATCCCCATTTTTTTATTGCATTAAATAATGTTTGAATAGTATTTGACTTTGGAAACACAAAGCCCAACAGCGGTCTGATTTGTAACTGCACAACAAATACAACGATAGGCAAACTAATGAAAATCAATGTTAAAATTTAATTTTCTAGCCGATTTTTTGAGATGCAGAAGCCAAACAAATCATGAAAAGTAGTTCTATATTTAGAACTCATCCTGTAGTAGAGCAGCATGCTGATACTGGAGTTGAACGAGTCCAAGACAAAACCAAACGACCAGGTGGCAAAGAACAGGTTTGAGAACCTCCCCACGACAAAGAACCCTGGGACTATGAACCCTGCAGCGCTCAGCACGACAGAAGGCGTGTAGCAGACGATCAGGACACTGGCTATCACAATGACCATGTTGATGGTTTTCTGGTCTCGGCTGGACAGAGAATCGGACTGTTTGTTTTCTTGTATCGATTCTTTTCTCCACTTCGTTTTAGCACGTAATTTAACTATTAGAGTAATCGTAAATATAATCAACGCGGAAAACGATACAAGTATGTACACGGCGTATAAGAGAAAAGTTAGTCCTGAGACTTTGTTATGGTCTGGTGTGGGGACGAGACCGAGTAGGGTTCTGTTTTTCTCCGGGTAAAACTTCCAGTCGATATACATTGTAGCATACTCTGGTAACAAAGACGCTATCATAAATATATAGATGAAGAAGATAATAAATGCAGCACGTTTGGGGGTGATGATTTGTTTGATCTTTAAAGGCAAGGTGATGCACAGGCAACGCTCGGCTGTGACGTATGTGGTGATCAGGCAGGTGATACGGGCAAAGCAGGCGTGGGGGAACCCACCTGTCAGGTGCTGGACTTCTGAAGGCACCATGGTAACGCCGGAGTTGACAAACAAAGGGTTGGCGCAGATGTTGAACCAGAGCAGCGTTATAAGACTACAGAGGTCTGAGATCGCCAGGCTTAAGAAACTGATGTTGATGCTGCTGGTCAGACCCTGCTTGTAGAAGACGATGATGTTGATGATGTTGGAGATGATACCAAACACGGCGAAAATGTTGCAGAGAAAAACGTAGTTGACAATTTCGAAAATAGCTCGAGGCTCTGCTCCTAACAAAAAATCTCCTACGCCTGTGCTCTCCAGGTCTTCTGTGTTCGTTTTGTTTACAAACAATTCCATGTTTGTTGTGCTTATTATGTCCGAAGAAAATATTTCTTAAAATTTCATTTCATTAAAAAGTAAATTATTTTTTTCGGATATGGAAAGAAGTGTCAATTATATTATAAAAGTAATACATAGTTTTTGTTGTTTTTAACTCACGCGTGTGGATACCTCACAATATAATACGTGTAGTAAACTTAATCTCGCGTTGATTGTGATTTACAAAAGAAAGTCATGAAAATGGGAAGTAAACGCATTAAAAATTATGTTTTCATTCATTGAAACTAACTGATAAAGTACCTTGAGCTTCTATATAAACTATAGCTGACAACGTCCGAGGAATTAGGTAGTTTACATTTGATCCTGTTAAGTCTGTATACCTGGTCAACAACACACATCAAGCCATCCAAAGTCCTACTGCAGCTTAAATTCAGAACTGAACCTTATGTCTACTAACTCAACCAGTTGAGTACAGAAATCGTTTAACAATGTACTTTCTAACTTTATAACATTTGTATGAACTTTGACAAAAACAAAATAATCAATTTTTGATCTCGTTGCAAATTTTGTTTAAATAACTGACAAGACACTGTGGTCACGTGTCAATGCCATTTTCTGTAATCGATCAGATTGCACTTAATTATTTAAATTGTTCAAGGGTTTGGATCATACTAAAGGACAATTTATAAACGTACATTTGAAATTCTAGCCAAACGGATAATTATAGAGCAAAATAAAACTAACTGCTTGTACCAGATGGCGTCCTAGTACTTAAGTTTACGACTCGAAACCTCGGTAAAGTAATCGAATTATCCAATTTAATCATAGCCAAATCTTAAAACGATTAAAAACGACTGCGCTAAAGGATATTTAAATGGAATTTCTCCAGTACCAGTTCGTTGGGTGCAGCCCAGGGCAAGCAATTTATATTACCGTTTCCAGTTTCTAGATCAGCCAAATTTTAATAAATTAGTGCTATCAATATTGTGTATATGCTGAGATCGAAAACAGAGTTCACTGTTCGCTGGCGACGTTAATAAATACACCCTTAGGCTTTTAGCTAGTTTAATACGATAGATGACATTCAGAAATTTTCTATTTCTTGAAAAACAATATCATTAGTGATACATATCTAGATCGTAACTGATAATGAATTTTTCATCAAAATAATCTGGCTGGCTTGTGATAATTTTATAAACTTCTTAGCTATCTTTCAACCGCGGGTTTTTTCAAAAAAAGATAAAATTTATCATTTACGTTGTTTAAACAGAATTTGAGTTGATCTATAATGTCGAAATAAGGTAATTTAAGCAAGAAAACCATTTTCCCCTGAAAACAATTAATCCCCTAAAAAGGCGTGTTAATTTTCTTGTGATAATATTATCTTAAGACGTAGGAATACTCTGGTTCAAATATTATATTAAATTATTTAATCCCGATTTAGTGAATCAAAAATTTTCAATCATCAATTTTTTTAAGTACTTGGCAAATAAAAGTATGATATTTAAGTCAATTTTAATTAAACGTTCCTCTTCTGGAATTTATTTGAAGATCAATTAATTCTTCATCAAAATTGTGTGTGTTTTACAATCAAAGCGATAAAATACTTTCCATTTTAAGTGTCACGTTAAATCAAGGGAAAATGTGTGTGAATGTACGAGGAATCGTTGTTTAATGTGTGTGCATAAACTAATATACACGTATAGAGTAAACTGTCAGCGATAAAGTTCTGTTCTTTTCACTTACAGGCCAATTCAGAATAGATTACATTAACTTATTTGGTAGAAATGATGAACAACTTCATATATTCTCTGTAATATAATATGTATATGTAAATTAATATAAAATCCAAAACAGTTTTATAAAAGAATAAAATGAATTTTAACAATTAAATAAAATTTGGCAAACAAAAGTGTGTATATGAGATTTTCATTTATTCAATGCATTAAATACGTGTGAATCATAGTAAAATATTTCAAACCACAATCACTTCTAATTAAATCTTACACAATGTTATGATACAAAGTCGCATATAAAGATATATAGTTGTGCGTACAATGTAAAGATGGCTGAGCATAATGCTGACCTCACTATCCCTTCATATGCCAGTCACTTTAACAGGTGAACTTGCTTTACTTGCCCCCATGGACCTTCAAGCTCTAAAAGGTACTTTACTTTTTATAGTCACACATCAACAAAGATTCTTTTTTTAAATTAATTATCTTATAACAAGGTTTATATTAATTTATTAATGAATTTTAAAACATTCAAGAATTAAGACAGTATATGGTAGGTACCGTAATCTCTTATGATACAGCTGTACTACAAAACAATTATTTTCAGTAGAGGTTGATTGTGGCGTGTCTAACAAGTTTCATTAGCCTCTTTTGTTGTAGCTTTCAAAACAAATATACATAGTTTATTATTCTAAATTAATTTGATATTCTTGATAGTTCTTGTAGTGTTGGGCTCTTATCAGTCCTCAATGTTTTCTAACATTGCCTTGAATTATGTATTGAATTCCCTTACCAAAATTATTCTTGGATAGTTACTTAAATATCGGTGCATGGTTCCTTGACAAATGATCTCAGGACGAATTATCTCAGACAAAATATCCCAGACAAAAAATATCTCACGGACAAATAATTTTAGGACAAAATATATCAGGACAAATGATATCATGGACACATTATGCATTATTATACATCTAAAGAAAATCATTTATTTTATTATTTTAGTGCTTATACAAAATCCCGTTATTGTAAAAATTTAATAGTTTAAATATTAACATTTACATTCACTACACACAATCCCGTTTTACTCTGTCAAAAGATAATTTTGTTTTTGCTTCCCTTGTAATATATTTATGAACGAGCCTATTAGACCACTCTGTGTATATTTTCTTAGAATTATATTGGACTTATGTAACTGTATGTTAGTTTAAGAACGAAATATGGGGTTATTTGGACTTGCTGGGTGTCTTTCCTTAACTTTATATAGAGCCATTGGAAGTCTCTAAGTGGTGATAAAAATCTCTTTTGTTACTTTGAAGCAATTTATTGATAGTTTATTGGGGTCGCCTAAATTCAGTGTAGTCATGTCGCCGATTGATTGTTAGGTCTTTAACTAGGCTTCATTCTTGCAGGTTCATGCTCAAGTGCAGACTACCGACTGCTATTGCTTATTTCGCCTTTAGGCTTTAACTTCAAGATGTCAGTGACCATGTTTAATGATTTTTTTTCTGTGTGCTAAAGTTTTCGTTGGTCAACGGTAAGGGAAATAATACATTCAATATTTTGATAAAGCTATATTTATGTGCAACTGAAAAGAATTCTCTACTTTACTTTCAAGTTGTGAAATTGTTTCTGTATATATTGCAATATAGTTAGTAAAAGCTAAGTGTTGTTTTTTTTTTTACATGCACTAATTTCAATTTATTTTTTTTCTATTTGCCTTCCTCGTTAATTTTTTTTTCTGTTTGTATTTGCCTTCCTCACAAATTTCAATTTCTTTTTAAACTCCATTTCACTTTATTTCGAAGATTTAAGATCTTTTCGTTGTGATCTCATCAGAAGCCCCGTGAACACAGGCTGATGACTACTAACATGCCTTGTTTCTTCCGTAGGTTTTAAAGATCATTTAGTAACAGATTTTCATTTCACCTCATCTGTATCTATCTATATTTAGTATATATCTAATTCTCTTCATGGAGACCATAGAAAACACCAAGCCACCACCCTCATCCCCACCAGTCAGGTGAACTGTGGTTCACCCCGAATGTTTACAATCGTAGAGTGACGGCTAATAAATATGGGCAGATTATTTAGTATTAAACGAAGGGGAGGTAACGATTCCTGATTGCTCTTTTCTTTGTCTGTAAACAGCTGCTTTCACTGGGCGGGAGAGGTGGGAGGGGCGGGAAGGGGTAGTGTTGTATTCACAAATTATGAATTGCTGATAAGCAGAAAATAAAACAACTAGATGGCGGCGTACACTACGTTAGAATTATTTCATGGAGATGAGGACTGTTCGAAATTCTTTTTATGATTTTTGTAATCGTTTAATAATTGAAAAAATTGATTCTAAAAAACCGCTTCCTAATTAAATTAAAGTAATTTTTTTCATCATACCCATCAAGAACAGAGCCAGGTGTGCCACAAAAGAACAAGGAATCTGTCATTTCTCGAACTCATTTTATTAGCAACTTGACTCAATGCTTTGGATATGGGAGGTTGTGGGTATCGAATATTAATATTGTATCATGGTATATTTTGCTGACGACTTATAGCCCGAATGTCTCGGGTTCGAATTTGAAGGACGTCTCTGAATCACGTTAGAGAAACTGCGATGGTGACGATCGCCTTGCATGCCCAATATATACTGATAAAGCGGGAGTTGATAAAGTGGAAGTAGATGAGGTAATTTATATTTTTAATGGTAGAATATTAAATTTCAAGAAGTTATATAATCCCAACTAAATTTCTTTCAATGGTTTTATTCACGTCCCCTGTTAAATAACATACGTCTCTCAGTAAGTAAACAAAATATCAAAGAAAAAACATGGATCCATATTGATGACGGGTAACGAAATATTTAATCTTACACATTTATGTTGCAGACACGTAGGAGCCAATATGAGTTGATGTATTGATTATCTCATAGTTTATCTTCCGTGATTTGAACCTCAGACTTCTCATAGTTCGCAGCAATGGCTTATTACTGTCTATATTTACTGAAGTATTGAAACACACTAAGTTAAGGGGAAAACGTTTTCAACGCTTCAGATGACTGCAAAAAAATGTTGTTTTTTTTATCATCCTTCATCATATGAATGGATGATGTGGTCAGCACTATCCCCAGCCGCCTTTACTGACTACAGTCACAAGTACGAACTAAGTTTCGAACTCGAGACACGAACTCCAGACCTTCGAACAAGCATGCAAACACTCTACCATTCGACCACCTTGTCCCTAACGATATTATTCTGTGCCTAAAACATTTGATTTTTTTCTTAAGATCTTGTTTGGTAAATTAATTACCGTCAACCATTCTGGGCTGTTTCGGTGTTTTTGGGTTCAACTTTTTATTTTGCTTACAAATCAATATCGGTAGATGTGCATCTGACTTCAGGTAATCAAATTTAAGCTGAAGCTATATACTAATTGTTTGTTATAAAATCTGTATATAATAACTAAATAAATCTTTTTTCATAAAATATATTGTATTTATATTTTATTTTTATTTCAGTGCCGGCGCCAGGTTATTTAGCGCCCTAGGCAAAACTTATTAAAACGCCCCCTTTCACACAAATTAATTACTTAAACATATCCTATAAGAAAACAATTCATTAAAAGTGATATATTAATTTATTATCAATTGCATACACGTTATAAGTAGACATCAAAATCAAATTTTACTTGCCTCCTTCGTCTCAAAAGTTTTAGTAATTCCTTCAATTCCAGTTTGCAAGCGTAATCACATTTTATTGAAATTGTTGCTAAGTCCACGAGTCTACTTTGTACTTTACGAGATAGCCCCCCCCCCCCTCCCCTCCTCTTCCCCCCCCCCCCCCCCCCTTAGAAAATGTTAAGTGCTCCCCCTCCCTGGGGGAAAACAGTCTGGGAAAAAAACACAGAAAAAAAAGTTCTTGCAGTGTTGGGCTCTCTGCAGTCCTCCCAAGGTGAGTTCCAAAACGGAACTTACCTGTTTTAAGCTTGACTGTCTTTAGTTATAATTGTAAAAGGTCTATATTGTGTGATTATGTAACGACTTTTTTTGTTTTGAAAAATAAAAGGTTATAAATGTTATAGATTCCAGCCTAAAATTGTTATATATGAATCCTTTAGGAGAGGGTGAAAAATATGAAAAGACAATTAATTAGATGTTTAATGTACGACTAAGACTGTATGTCTACTAACAAATTAAGTATTGCAATCTACAACGGCTACTGATGTTTTTCAACTTGATTATGCTAAAATAACCTACCAAACTATTTTGTTTAAAACTTAAGCTCTGTATAATTTTTACAGTAGCGAATAATAACTTAAAGTTGTATTTATATGTAAGCGGTCAACCTAAGGTCAGGAATTGGAAATGAATGTAAAGTTAAGCAACGAATTATCTCCCATTTGAAAATCCAAAATCCAAACTTTTATACAAGGGAAATAACTTTCACAAGAATTGCTAAATTAACCAAGTGAAACTAAGATATGTTTAAAAAACACAATAAAACGCTCTTAATTTCATTACGTAATAATTACAACAAATGTTTTATATTATCTATGTAACTTTGTGAAAACAATATATTTTACCTATTGACTACTTAACTGCAGGTTTTGTTTGAAAGTCTAAAAATGGTTGCTCTTTTATAACATACTACTATTCAATTATGATGACATACATTTTATTGCAGTTAACTTTGCGAATCTGCTTACAGATAAAATTTTGGATCCCCTAAATATAGGGATGTCTTTCAAAAAAATCAAACACGGGTAACTACTTTAGACATTGCTAGAACTATTGACTAAATATTTTTTTAAATTAATTTGGAAAAATTAAGTTTACGGTTAGTTTTAAATTCCATCCTATTAATATGTATTCATACTTTAAGAGTGGTAATATAGTTAACTCAAAAACTAAAGATTTTTCAACTACAGAACGATTACCTTTCTTTATAGTGTGTTCCGTACTGAATTGAAATCATCTAACTTGCGATAAACTCGACTACTCGATATACTCTGCTACATTCACAACACGATACCTAAACATAACTAGACTCGATGCTTCAGAACTACGACACCAACTCGTTGAACTTCACCAAGCTCTACAAACGGTACTCCCAATCAACAACAATTTCACTGGACCTACTACTACACTTTAACAGTCAATATAATTCGATACCTTAATACCACAAGAATCAATACTCCCGAACTCCAGAACTACGATACTTCATCACCTTCATTCTCATTTGTCTACTACCAATCATATTCCACCGGACCTTCAACTACACAACAGATAAATAAAAAAATACGACACTTTAACAATTAGATACTTTACGAATCCTATCAGATACAGCCCTCCGCCGTTACTCCCAAATCTAAACGAGTCATCAAAACTTACCAAACAAGAAGGCTACAATACTTTGAACACCCCGTCATTACAAAACTCTATACACCAGGATAGATTTCTAATTCAATGTCAGACAAAATGTTCAAAATTTAAATTACGAATTTATTTAATCGTTTTCTACATCAATTAAAACGGCAATGTGACTGGTAAAAAGCGCCCCGACCAAATTAGGGAGGTGGGGTTGCATTTTCACCATCGCGATTAAATAAAGGCCTATATAGACCAAATTTAGGGGTGGGTTGCAGAATTGATAGTTCGTCCTGTGTGCCAAAATAGATCGCTACTCCTTTATAAAAGCTATTAATTATTAGTTAACTTTTGATAAAATGCGATTAAACCTTTTGCGCCCCCCTAGGGATGGCGCCCTAGGCGACCGCCTACTTCGCCTAATAGGTAGCGCCGGCCCTGCTTTTAGATTATTAAAAAAAAATTGTGCGTATTAATATTCGTAAAATCGTTCATGTGACATGTATATAACTTAACATGCAAATGAAAGCTAATGTAATGGTTTTATACATTTTGTTAACGAATTTTATAACTAATTTTGTTAACTTTGTTAACTAATTTTGTTAACTTTGTTAACTAATTTTGTTAACTAATTTTGTTAACTAATTTTTGTTAACTAATTTTGTTAACTAATTTTGTTAACTAATTTTGTTAACTAATTTTGTTAACTAATTTTGTTACTAATTTTGTTAACTTTGTTAACTAATTTTGTTAACTAATTTTGTTAACTAATTTTGTTAACTAATTTTGTTAACTAATTTTGTTAACTGCTTGTAAAAATTCAAGTTTCTTGTCGTTTACTAGAGCTGCAAACAGGAAACAAATCGTGAAAAGTTGTTCTATATTTAGAACTCATCTTGTAGTAGAGCAGTATGCTGACGCTAGAGTTGAACGAGTCCAGTGCAAAAGCAAACGACCAGGTCACGAAAAACAGGTTGGAATACTTCCCGACGACATACAGACCTGGGACGATATAAACCGCCACACTGAACACGACAGCTGGCATGTAGCAGACGATCAAAAAACTGGCAATCACGATGACCATGTTGATGGATTTTTGGTCTCGGCTGGACAGAGTATCGGACTGTTTGTTATCGTGGGTCGATTCTTTTCTCCATTTCGTTTTTTGTCTCAGTTTGACAATTAAAGTAATCGTAAAAATAATCAACGCAGAGAACGATACAAGGATGTACACGCCGAAGAGAAGAAAAGTAATTCCCGAAGCTTTGTCGTAGAGAGCTGTGGGGACGAGACCCAGTAGGGTTTTGTTGGTCTCCGGGTAAAACTTCCAGTCGATGTAAAAAGCGACGTACTCCGGTACCAAGGCCGTGATATGCAGGATGTAGATGAAGCAGATGATGAGAGCAGCACGTCGGGGGGTGATGATTTGTTTGATCTTTAGGGGCAAGGTGATACACAGGCAACGCTCGGCTGTGACTTACGCGGTGATCATACAGGTGATGCGGGCAAAACAGGAGTGAGGAGACCCACCGGTCAGGTGCTCAAACTCTGAAGGCACCATCGGAATATCTGCGTTTTTAAATAGCGGGTTAGCTAAGACGTTGAACCAAAGTAGAGCCACAAGACTACAGAGGTCTGAGATGGCCAGGCTTAAGAAACTGATGTTGATGCTGCTGGTCAGACCCTGCTTGTAGAAGACGATGATGTTGATGTTGTTTCCCACGATGCCGAACAGAGCGAAGATGTTACAGAGGAAAACGTAGTTGACTGTTTCAATAATGACGCGAGCTTGTTCACTTAACAGTTGGTCACCTGTATCTTGGTTTGTCTGTATGTCCGCGCCACTTTCATTAAAACTGATATCCATCTTCTGTTTTATGTACAAAAACTTACAAAGGCTTGTAGGAAATTTTAATTTATTCTAAAACAACATCGGGACAAGAAGTATTTTATTATTATTTTCTTCTACAAAACATATTTTTACTACATAAATTTCAAAATATAAACGTAGAACTCTATAAGTTCACAAAGAATACATGATTGATCAAACTATGACATTGCATGAGAACTTTCAGTGAGAGATAACACGTTATTTACATCGAATTTGTTACACTTAATAACATGGAGAAAATAACGATCGATTCGTTAGTTTGTAAAGACATCATTATATTGCGCCAATAACAGGATCAATGAACGCAGTGAATTTCGAATTCCCTACCTCTGTAAATGAGGGTTTGTATTAAATTTAATTCGTTAAACGTTTGTAGCGCAGTTATACCTATAAACTGAACCTTAATGAATAATCCTCTATTCGATGACTAAACGCGCAGTGCGATCAAATTAACTCAAATTTTCAACAATTTAATTTGTCTCTGTTGGCTTGGTACATGCCAATAACCTACAGCTGCAATCTGTTTTCTTATTACAGATAAACTCATTAAAGTATTTTAACATTATTGGGTAGAGTGTAGCGCCTGATCAATAAATTATGTAAGATATCTTTCCGCTGGATTTTAAATTGTCGCCCCGTAGGCGGTGCGCCGGTTTACCATCAGTCTCCGTATACGATTTCCGATAATGACCGTAAAGAAATTTTGTGGCAAGATATAATTTGAAAAAAAATTATGATAAAACGTTGACACCATCATTAAATTTTGTAATAAAAACATTCGGTGCAGTAAAATTAAATAACTGCTAAATTTATCATTGCTTTCGACCGGGACGAAATGACGTTTTTCAATCACGATCTATAGTCGTTTTAGTAAGTTTTGTCTTCCAGTTTGTATTCGTATTCCAAACTTTTAAAAAAGCATAAAATTGTTGAAACTATAAAAACGACATAAAATAAAGACTTCCATTCTTTCAAAACAGTTTATTGTCATGTCTTTCCAAGCGTCCAAATACTAGTTTTTTATACGTATTTAAAATTAAACAATTTACGGATAAACCTAATAGTTTTGGAAAAGTTACATTTGTGAACATTTTAGACAAAATTTTCACTCTTAAAGTTTTATAAACATTTTAAAATTCGAGTTCCAATCAACAGCGCCACTCAGTTTTACAATTCGTTTTAATATGTTTAGCCTGCTTTATAGCACACAAGTTTTTTTGTTTTTTTTTTATATTGCAGAGTCAGCAGGAGGGATTGAAATTGCAAGGAACTGAATAGAATCTACATCAAGTGCTGACCGACATACAAACTAGTTAAATGAGATAGAGGACAGAATCTTTCATATGCTGTAGGACAATTAGTGTGCGCTTTCCTATAAAATGAGCTGTCATCGGCCATCTTGTTCTGATATTTCTTTGTGGAGTATGAGAACATTTTCCACGGATATTTCTTTATTTACCACTAGTACGGCCAAAGCCGACATGATACGGAGCAGAATAACGTCATTCTCTAAGAGATAGCCTACTCAAACTTTATGAGACTGCTGCTCATACTGCTAGCAGTATAAAATACAGGCTTGTTTCTGTTATATGTTGCCAAACTAACAGATATAATTTTTATGTTCATTACAACTATAAACATATGACCACTCATGTGCTACATTGTTTTCAAATTCTGCTAAAACAATATTGCACATCTTCTTAGGTCAACGCTTGAGTAAAAAAAAAAGCGAGCGGCTTTTAAAAAAACGGTGGTTTTGGATAACCGTTGAATGGTCTGATATGGAGTATATTTTGGAACCTTCTAAAATCTTCTGCTGAATTCAAAACAAGTATTTCAACCGCCTTGGACTTATAATAAAGATTGTCACAATACAGTAACTGGATGCGTTGAGTGCAAACTATAATCCCATATGGAAGATGAACGTAAAAGTTTAGTACAAATCAATGGGTTTCTTCCCCTGATCTGTGCGTATCCCGTGGGGAATCTCTATTTCAGTGGTTCTTAACCTGGGTTTATCAAACGCAGGGGTTCGGTGAGTCTGTCTTAGTGGTTCTGCATAGGTCAAGACACACACCCGACAAATATTAATCTTGATCGGAATATGTCATTGGGGACGATAGAACTATTCAGATTTTCTTCCAGACTTTTTTCTCCGGGGGGGGGGGGGGGGCACTTGATATTTTCGTGGGGGGGGGGGGGGGGGCGGCGGACACTAGTAAAAGTGTATGTTTACTATATAAAATCCATCTTGTTCGGGGGAGCGGTAGACTTTCTTCGGGGGGGGGGGTGCGTCTGCAGTAGTAATATTTGTTAAGTCACGTTGCGATCGGAAGCAGACAAAAAAAATAGTCTGTACTACGTAGAGAAAGGGTAGGGAAAGGTTGAGAAAAGAGAACAAGAGTGGTAACTACGATGGCGGTAAACTAATGGCTTTAATGTCACAACTAGAATCTATCTAGATTTTTTAATCGAAGCTAGACTGTGTTGAATGTTTGGTGGATTTTAGACAGCGGCGTAGCTAGGGGAGGTCGGGTGGATCGGCCGCCCCGGGCGCCGATCCTAAGGGGGCGCCAAAAGGGGTAGAAAAATTAACTTAAAAGCTCATTTTAAGCTGAAGTATTGAATTAGCCACAGTCAAAATAACGAAAATAAACGACTACAAGTCTTTATACAATGATTAAACACTTTGTGGCACAGAAATAGAAAATGTTACACGATAGTAAGAGGTAAGAAGCGTTACAAATCTTTCCGACTGGGTAGGGGGGGGGGGGCTTTTTCACGGACAGAAATAACTGCACATAGAAATGGGAGGGAAAGGAGCGCAAAATTGATAGTCCGCCCCGGGCGCCGGAAAAGGTCGCTACGCCTCTGATGCTAGACTGTGTTGAATGTTTGGTGGATGCTAGACTGTGTTGAATGTTTGGTGGATGCTAGACTGTGTTGAATGTTTGGTGGATGCTAGACTGTGTTGAATGTTTGGTGGATGCTAGACTGTGTAGAATGTTTGGTGGATGCTAGACTATGCTGAATGTTTGGTGGATGCTAGACTTTGTTCATGATTTATGGATGCTAATGTTTTGATGTGTGTTTATGAGTGTATTTTGTGCGAATGTATCTTAGTGCTGATATATAATGAATGGATGGAAACACGCCGCGATATGTATGATGGTTATGTTGTTTTTTTTATAGTTTGGTAGAGCTAAAATAATAACTATAACCCTATTTTTGATTGATACGTGTCACTCTTCACTATGTCATACACTTAGGGAGGTCAATTCTTTCAAACTTATATTTGTAGCCTTGCGAACAAATCTGATCGCTAAATCTTCAAGTATATTTAAATACGCCAATTTATTATTACATGAAAACACGAGGAAAATTACCGTTAATTAGATCCACAGTTCTCCATCAGATTTTAACTTTACACTTTTAGAACACCAAAAGTTTTTTTTAAGTTTCTTGAGCTTTACTTCTGTATTGACTACAAACTGCGAAACATTCGTGAAAAGTTGTTCTATATTTAGAACTCATCTTGTAGTAGAGCAGCATGCCGATACTAGAGTTGAACGAGTCCATTGCGAAGGCGAACGACCAGGTCACGAAAAACAGGTTTGAATACTTCCCGACGACATAAAACCAGTGTTTCTTCCAGACTTTTTTCTCCGGGGGGGGGGCACTTGAAATCTTCGGGGGGGCGGTAAACTTTCTTCGGGGGGGCGGACACTGTTAAAAGTATATATTTTCTATATAAATTATATAAATTTCATTTCGTTCGGGGGGGGCGGTAAAAAGAGATGCCTGGAAGAAACTCTGCATAAAACTCTGGAACGCTGTAAGCTGCAACACTAAGCACGACAGAAGGCGTGTAGCATACGATCAGGACACTGGCCAATACAATGACCATGTTGATGGTTTTCTGGTCTCGGCTGGACAGAGAATCCGACTGTCTCTCATCGTGGGTCGATTCTTTTCTCCATTTCGTTTTTTGTCTCAACTTAACTATCAAAGTAATGGTAAAGATAACTAGTAGAGAGAAGGATATGAAAATATATAAGGCGTAAAGAAGAAACGAAAGTCCTAGAAGATGGGAGTTGTTGGTTGTGGGGACGAGACCCAGTAGGGTTTTGTTTCGATCCGGGAAAAACTTCCAGTCGATGTGAAGAGAAAGATATTCTGGCACCAAAGTTGTCATGTGGAGGATGTAGATGAAACAGATGATGTATGCAGCTCTTCTAGGGGTGATGATTTGTTTGATCTTTAAAGGCAAGGTGATACACATGCAGCGTTCTGCTGTTATGTAGGCGGTGATCAGACAGGTGATACGAGCAAAGCAGGCGTGAGGAAATCCTGCAGTCAAGTGTACAAACTCTGAAGGCACCATTGGAATGTCATCGGCGTTTTTGAACAACGGGTTGGCGCAGACGTTGAACCAGAGCAGTGTGATAAGACTACAGAGGTCTGAGATGGCCAGGCTTAAGAAACTGATGTTGATGCTGCTGGTCAGACCCTGCTTGTAGAAGACGATGATGTTGATGTTGTTGGTGAGGATGCCGAAGAGAGCGAAGATGGTACAGAAAAAATTGTAGTTGACAATTTCAAAAATCACACGAACCTCCACGCTCAGCATTTGATCAACTACGTCTTCAATCACACGAGTGTCGGTGTTGTTTGAAGAGTTTTCTACCATTGTTGTTTTACGTGTGACGTCTAACAACGAACTATCACATGTGTAGATAATAATTTTATTAAAAATTCAGAACATCAGGATTTTATAACCAAACTATCAGTGTATTTTTTTAAAGACAGTAACTATTTTGTTGTATGTAATAGTTCATCACATAAACGACTACAATTCATGTTTGTAAGTCGTAATAACTTACAAGTTATATGCCGTTAAACCAATCCCGTTTCAAATACAAAATTCTTTTTGTACATAGTTCACTAAGCTGTTTTCTTAACTTCATTAAAATAGAATATTTTTTAAATATATATATATATATATAATATTAGAATCTCTTTTATGGACCCAATAACAAATAGATCCCTAAATTATGAGTCTACAAATAAGTTGAAAAATAGCTGCAACGCTCAATTAGAAGAGAGGCAATACTACTCTCCTAATATCAAGTTGGTAAAATAAAATTTCCAACAATTTACGTGTCACAGAATTTTTCCCTTTATCCATCTGCCTAATAATGCATAATTTTCTAGTGTTTACACATTTATTTTACCATTTATTTTTTTATTTTGTGATGTACAAAATCTCATGTCAAAAATATCACAGTAACAACGTCAATCGATTCACCCTTAGGCTCTAAGATAATACTATCTATCCTAGCATGGCTTTCGATAACGCTAAAAACATTATTTTGCCGAGAGAATTTAATTACCAAACTAACTTTAAATAAATATTCCAGTAAGCCTCACCGCCATGTCGTAACAGTAATCACTTAGTTTACGTAATCAAGCTCGTTTATCAAATGCCGATAAAATACGCATATCCAGTGCTTTTTGATCGAAACTTTACGATCAATGACTGTTATTGGATTTTGTTATCTAGAATACGCTAGTAATTTTTTATGGGAAGTACAACTATAAGAACGTTATAATCTTTCAATGCAAAATAATAAACATGTTGTGCAAATGCTGAAATAATCACTTCATTTTTTTGTTTCTTTTAAACGCATCAGAGTTATGAATTTGATTATATTTACTAATCAGTGAAATATAAGAGTATACTAAATTGGTGTAAATTTCTTATGAATTAACAGGCAAGTGTAAATCCAAATACTACCTCTGAAAGGAGAAAGAGAATTTTGTTAGTTATCCACGGAATTCAAGTCAATCAACGTAGGACTATTGGTCTGACTGCATCGGTTCAATTACAGAGGAGCTAATTAATTTCTTTCTGCGCCTTTTTGTATGTTTGTTTCTGTTGGCAACCCTAACATAAACTAAAACTAGCATTGTTAAGCCTTTGGGCCCACATATATAAACGAGAAAAAATAACATGTAAATCTGAAGAAAATCCGTATCACCTCATTTGCCAGTTGTGCAGAAATTCAAAAGAATCTGGTGATTGGATCATACAAAAACGGCGCTAAGTCAGAAACTAAAAATCCAGTTAGACTTTTAATGCGTCAAATGGTAAATGAAAAATAAAAGTCCGTATATGTAAGATTTTCATGGTTCTGGAAAAGATTATCAATATTAAGCTACGTATTGAGACTGGTTTAAAACCCAACTTTTGTGTGAGCTGTAGTTAAAACACCAGCACAATGTTTCGGTTTTTGTCATCGGCTATTCCTAAATACAAAATATATAAGTTTTGGTTCTCGTTCGATATGTATTAATACGTTATATAGAAAGATATATCAACCTGCTTAAAGAAAACAAAACGTAGTCTGTTAAAGAAATCGAAATTTGGAAGCGGGAAAGCGACGAACAAAATCGCCAGATAAAACTACCGGAGAGCGAATAAAAGGGAATTCCCAGCATGGTGACTATATGCAACACTCAGGCAGATAACGGGAAAATCAAAGAAATGATAACATGGAGACCGCAGAGATTTTCTAACACATGTAATGTCGGATGATAAGAGATCTCATGAGCGACCAATACTTTTATTTTTAAAAATTAAGTTTGATTTTTATTTATTTTTTCAGTGCATTTATAAACTTACAATTATAAAGAGTTATTATAATTGTTTCTTTTTCAACCTTTTAGTAATTCGTTCTTATTTAAGTTGACATCATTGTTACCGGAGGTTGAAATATCTGGAATGAAATTGCTGTATTGAAAGTGGATTAAAATATTGAGTTACAATATTTACCATAAACCCACATACAAACAGAAAAAAAACAGAGCTAAAAAAGATTTTTAAAAAAACGCTATAGTAATAAGCTTTTGAATTGACTTACATAAATAAATAAGTAGATATTGTTTTCTTCAATTAAGCATTAGTCGTCAAAATGTTTAGGAGATTTTATGAGCGTTTTTATTTAAGTTTTAAGTTTTTGTTTAAATTCTTCGTTGATCACCTTGCAACCCAATAGTGATTTTCAGCTACATCACTTAGAAACAGATTATTTTCTTGTTCTTGATAATATAATCCTTACAAAAATTTACTTTTAGAGATGTTTAATTGAAATCTTAATGGCATTTATGGACACATAATCTGTAAAATGAATGAAAACATCCAAACTAAACCAGACAAGGTTTAAACTTAGAAACATGTTTATTGTAGCAAAATAATCTAATAATATTTGAGGGACATCAAGAACATGCAGTGAAAATTTCAATTCCATAGAAACAAAAAGCAAGTAAACAGTTTATTGAACTTTCAATCCAAACAAGACAAAACAGGAGGAGTCTTGCGCTGAATGTATTTCAGACTTTTATTTGGTTTGATGTATTGTGACCGTCAATAGAATTGGTTTTAAATTTAAAGGTGAAAAGTTTATCATTGTTTAAATCAGACAATTGTAATCTATTGTAATTAAACCAGACAATTGTAATCCATTGTAATTAAACCAGACAATTGTAATCCATTGTAATTAAACCAGACAATTGTAATCAGTGTTTCTTCCAGACTTTTTTCTCCAGGGGGGGGGGGGGGGGCACTTGAAATTTTCGGGAGGGCGGTAGACTTTCTTCGGGGGGGGGGGGGGCGGACACTGTTAAAAGTATATATTTTCTATATAAATTATATAAATTTCATTTCGTTCGGGGGGGCGGTAAAAAAATTTCGAAGAGATGCCTGGAAGAAACTCTGATTGTAATCCATTGTAATTTAACCAGACAATTGTAATCCATTGTATTCGCAGAACTTCAACGTTGTTTGCTCACTCAAATGGCGAGGTGCTCAGATATCTCTCGCAGAAAACATCTTCCCTTTCATAGATGGTTCATTGATAGATTTTACGTTGTATATCATAATATAAAACCTATGCTCAATTTTCATTATTGAGCGCCCATGCTTGGTTTATTTTTAGTCATACCAGCATATCGTTTTAGTAAGATTATACTAAAACTAAATTTTGTTTTTTTACTTTTTAGTGCATTTTTTGTGATTTTTGAATAATAATAAAAGGTTTTTTCCTTCAAATATTTTTTTTGTGATTTATTAACATTGTGTATCAGAGCGCCGTCCTGCTACTTGCATCAAAATTAAGATATTTTTATGTTGTTCGTTTTCTTTCGAGACTAGTTACGTTGTTTTAGAAGCGAAATTCTAATATGAAAAGTAGTGTAGAGTTATCTATGGGTCACTGTTCTAAACATGCTTTCTTTAGATTTTCCATTGTGTGAAGAATATTTAATGAGTATAGATCTATGTTATTATAGTATCAATTAACAACATAGAAAATACAAGAATGTGCTTTTTGTGTGCTAAAATGATCAGAAATTCCACTAAAACAACGCATACAAAGCCTTCTGTCAGTTAATTGAGTTAAAACTATCTTTGTCTGCAGCAGCGATCGTACTTTAAACTTTGTCCACGCACAATCTTCAGTCTTGATCTGACCATCAAATTACATATAGCTCCACTGTTAAACTCTAGACAACAGTAATGGCGGGGGCCGTAATATTTTCTGAGCAATTTTGTTACTCTTTGCTCATGCTGTCTGTCTAGTTTGAGGAAGCTGCCGCCCATACGGTGCCTGTATTTTTATTGTAGTCATAAATAAATGAATCACAAAATACTAAACGGTATTGAAGGGGCAATGAGAAGATCACTGCGTAGACAAAACCTGTGGCCAAATCTCAGTACCCTTTGTATTTTCTAACCGATAGTTAGTAGATCTACTCTCGAACTCAGTTTCTCTCAGAAATCTCTTTATAATATATACTTTTACCAGTTTCCGCCCATACCCCCCCTCTCCCCGAGAAAACAAGTCTGAAAAAAGCACTGCTCGAACTCGTGGAGCCAGAAATCCTACAGTTTTATTTTTATTCTTCTTCTTCTCGCCTTTTTCATCTTCTAGTGGAGCACAGGCCATTTACAACGTCCTTCCATGTACTCTTTTTGTCCTTCGCTCTTTGTTCCATTTCTTTACAACTCTTTCAAACATGTCTTTTTCAATTCTATAGTTTTCTTTTTGTTTTTGTTAGTTTTTTTTTCAGGAGGTGGGATATCATGAAATACCTAGTCTGGTAATATGTGTTGCCGTTTTCCTCAACACTGGACATATCCATGTCCATTTATTTAAATAACTTAGGTAAACGTTCTCATCATTTTGTAGCATTAAAGTAGTAACAAAACAGAAAATTGTCTTAGACTTGAACGTTCGCGTGGTTCAGCAAAGTACCCAACATCGTTCACCACGGCGAGGAGGAAACTCCTCAGTAACAACAACATGTCAGTGTACGACCCGTTGATTGATAGAAGAGTTATGGAACCTGGCAGAGCTGGGTGGTCAAGCGGTCCTTCAGACACCAAACTTCTTGCACAACACAACAGCAACATTTCCTTTGTCTCAGTAGAGAAGAGGGTGTGGTTGACTATTCACACACAAACGAATGAGGGCGAGAATTCAGCAATGATGATCATGGCACTGTTTAGATATATATATATATATATATATATATATATATATATATATATATATATATATATATATATATATATATATATATATATATATAAAGAGAGAGAGAGAGAGAGAGAGAGAGAAAAGGGGAGGTTGAAAATATTCAAAGCCTCGGTTCCTACACACTATGAATTCAAAAGTTTATGCGATCAAAAGATTATCAGGAGATTAGCCTGTCGGGTGTTAAGCAGAGGTTAAATATAACAATTTTGAAAATTTTGAAAACTTGCTTAATAAAACTAAAATAACTAGCACACATTGCTCAAGACACAGTAACACTTGTGAAATATTGGAGAGACTTAAAATAGACAATACATGGAATACAACAATAATTCGTCGACACTAATCACTCAGGTTTTTCTCACATCTCTACCAAGGTCACGTGCACCCAGCCCAGAAACTTAACAAATGGGAATTCTTTGTTTCCTGTCGACATTATCCTCTAATCTAAATCTCGAGTATAATCTAACTTAACACGATTTTGTTATGAACTAGATCACGTTTTATGGAAACTTCAGAGAGGCATGACAGGAAAACTGATAAGATTACACTCATTATATGCCTACTGTACTTTAATTGGTTTGCACTAGAATTAGTACCATGAAAAAGCCGTCAATGGAGACGATTCGGTATACTCAATACACTTATTCCTAATCAACCCGCCATAAACTTCACACACGAAATTATCAAAACTGTCTTCGCTTCTTAATAGCAGCTTCCTCCCGCTTCTTAATCACAATTTCAATTAAAGCTATAATTATTATTGAACAGACCTCTTTAAGTTTTAATTACATTATAATTACAAAATTAGATAGCTCAACTCTGCGGGTTTCGATGAAGAGTCCTGGTGAGGTACGAAATCGATTACCTTTACGTTTTTTTAAAGATCAAATCAGTAACCATGATTTTAAAAAATTTAAGAACTTTTTGTTCAATTATCAAGCCAATTTCTGCATAGAAAATAAAGTATCAGGCAGTTCGAAACCTTGTTACTGTTAATTAAAATAATATCTAGCGCTATTTAATTAATTATGCATCAACCTAACTATATAATTTTTAATTAAATGTTTCAATGGCGCAGAAAATAATTACCCTAGGGGTTCTAATTGCTATTATTTTATTTTACTAGTAGGTTAAACCTGCACGTGTGTGAGACTAATTGCTCGTTTCACCTCATGATTTAATAACGTCCATACATCCCTAAAAAATTAAATTATCAAAATATGTATTTACATGATAATTAAAATGTTAATTATAATTAATGCAAAAACGAATGTTTGGAAATGACATTACTATGTTTCAGCAGAAAATTAATTAACCCTTTAGTGCTCAGCAGGGACACGAAAAGTAATTTCAAGCAATTTTTACCTACTCTATATTCGATCAATATTTAATTGATCAAATCAATTTTAAAAATATATCTGCAATTTCAATTATTCGCTATTTAAGTTCGGGTAAGGGATTGTTCTGATCGACTTTTGACACAATCTACACAGAATTTGTTCCACGTTTTCAATCAGATACATGGCCAGATATCTCACATTTTATATATCACCGTATCTCCTAAGCAAAACAACAAAAAACTGAAGTAGACTGATAATAAATGTCTACTAAAGTATATGTTTAGAAACAGCGATCCGTTTGGCAGGTGAAGTAGAGTTCATATGTTTCTTGACCTCGGTAATACGAAGGGAAGTTGTTGTCAGCACTATGCCCAGCCGCCTTTACTTTCCCTAACGTGTTAAGTACCCATCAGAGCTGGGTGGACTCAGGGACGTTCTGCTAGCTTGGACCCGGATTCGAACTCGAAAGTATACGTTTGTTTAACGATAACTACTGACTCTCAAAAAATGTTCCAGCGCTAATGCATTGGTTAGATAAAAATCTCAATCTTTTCATTTTCCGACTGTTAAACTGTAACTAGTAATAATCAAATCAAACCAAACGATACGATACCTGACTTTAGGAGCATAACAGCTCGTCTGCTAGTTCAAATATGTACCTTGCTAACATGTCCACAGCACTAATTAGCCTCCATTAGCCGTAGCTGTAAAACCCATCATACCCCATTAGTTTTATCATTGTGGTGGTCGATCCCATCTCTCATACTGAGGTTGATTGGACTAAATTATACAATTAATTAACCCGAGCTGACCTGTGGGGACATTGAGGCTGATTGGATTTAACAAAACAATTAATTAACCCATGCTGACGTATCGAGATAGTGGAAGTTAAAAGCCGTCAAATCCAACTCGTCGAGCTTATATGGAGTGCTGCACTATTTTCTGAGCTCCTGGGCTGCTTGATTATAGAGGTAAATGAAAATTAAAATTATCACCATGTAAATAAGAAGTAAGACTTTTTTTTCTATCTTTTGATATAATGCTACAAAAATTTGAAAAATATTTCAATGTTTCCTTGGGAAGCTAAGGTTTAACCATTTTTTTCATAGATTTGTTAAAGTTATTTTCACAAGCAAACTCCTAAGCTTGATAAAGTAAAGCATATTTTGCTATAATTTCTTTTTAGTATTTAAAATTATAAATTATATTTGTACGTTGATATTTAAATTATAAAGACAATTGGTCCTATATTTTTTTTCCGTTTCAATCATTCAGAAGTGAGGCGTCACCAATCCGAATTTTTAAAAAAGTATATTCGGCCAATTAAATTATATGCAATCTTGTAGACTATTGTTTCTACTAGCTGATTCTTTCCCTTTTTGCTGCTGTATTGAGTAATTTTTAAACTATATTTTAATTAGCAGTTAATATCAGATTTAATTAATACTGCAAATTTATCGACCTGTTTTCGAGCCTGTATTTTAACTCTTCAGTGTGTTAAATTATCTGAACGTATTTGAATTCGATGTTAGACATTTGTATACATTTTGGGCTACATCATAAAAATATTTTCGAATAATTTTACCCCATAGTATTTCTATAAATATTTATCTTAAGTTTACACAATCTTTTAAATCTTATTATATAATAATCTGTTTCGGTTTTCTGAACATTTCTGATATGTTGCAATGTGTTTTACTTTTTTTTAGGTTAAACTGAAGCCATTAAAACCCATGGGAAAATGTAACACCCTAAACCAATTTGAGCACAAAAGATTGTCGCTGTGAAGTAATAGTTGGATACTTTTGACGAAAAGAATGTAAAAAATTGATTTTGGTTTTTATGTGAATATTAAGTTAAATTAATTTTTTTTTTTAATTCTTGTTTTTAATTGAATTTATTTCGGAGATAATTACTTTAGAAAACTTCAGATTTTTACTCAGCTTCTGACTTTAAACATTTTGCTTAAGGTACTTCATAAGATAACTGGATAATTAAAGTATCAAAACAATAAGATGTTTGCCAACTCAAATCCAAGTGGAAACTTCAACACAACCGGTCAAGACCTTGAACCTGATGACCCCGGTGTAATGCTGAGTAACCGAGTGACTCATGTGTTCATTATGGTCAACTACGTTTTCCTCAGCACCATCATCAGCCTGTTCGGCATCGCGGCCAACTCGCTCAACATGCGCGTGCTGGCCAGACAAGGGTTCCACAACACCATGAACATCAGCTTCATGGGCATGGCCATCTCGGACATGGCCAGCTTGGTCACTCTGCTCTTCCTCAACGTCTGCCTCAGCCCGTTTTTCCACGCCTTCAACGAGATCCACTACCTGTTCGGTGCCTGGTTGCACGGCTGCGCGGCACGCATCACCGGCTGGATAACCGTGTACATCACCGTTGAACGTTACCTGTCTATCGCCAGACCACTACAGGTTAAAACTTACGTGACCGCTAAAAGAGCCGTGACGATCATTTGTTTGATCTATGTTTTTAATCTACTCACTCTCATACCGGAAGTGTCCACAATCTACCTTGACTGGAACATGTTCTTGACCCCTGGCGCTGTTATGGAATCGATCACCTCTTCCTCTAAAGGAATGACCATCGTCGCTCTCGTTTTTTCAGTCCACGCTTTCCTAACAATAATGTCTTTCATCGCCTTGGCGGTCTTCACGTCCATCCTCGTCATTAAACTCAAAGAAAAATCAAAATGGCGGAGCAAAGCCACCCACGGGCATGGACAAGACGAGGCGGTGTCCGTCAGGGACAAGAAAACGGTGACCGTGATCATTTTCGTAGCCACGCTGTTGATCCTGTGCTACGTGCCGACCGTGACCTTCTCCATCGTCTCGTCCAGTGTGCCTGAGTTCAGCTTGTTCGGGCGGGAGTCGAACGTCTTCTACGTGGCCTGGTCCTTCGCCTTCATCACCCACTCGTGCAATTCCAGCGTCATCATCTTCATCTACTACAAGATGAGCTCGCGATACAGGGCCACGTTCAAGCAGGTTGTCGCTCAATATTTTCACAGGAGACCGCTAGAGCAAGCAGACGTTGACGGGGTAAACGTCACAAACACAAGATTTTAAACCGCTAGACGAAGTAGAACATCACCAATACAAGATTTTAAAACAGAAAACATTTTACAAACAAACAGTTTTGTAATGTGTAATTATGGAGCACTAGTTCGTGGTGTGTTTGTTTGTGGTTAAATGCAACACGCCACCAACACAAGATTTTAAGACAAAACAAAAAAAGTTTACGAAAATAAACAGTTCTGTAATGTGTAATTAAGGAGAACTGGTTCGTGATCTGAGTTTGTTTTATGGGTAAATAAAAACTGGAACGTAAACGTTTCAAATATTTATTTACAGTAGGAGAATTAGTTTTGACAACACAAGACCGTTCCTTAACTGTTTCATAAATCCGCAATGAATAATTAAAACCTGCATTCACGTCCATGTAAGATAAATCCACCGACCTCACTTTCATGTAAGAAGCAAGCAATTGCTAAGCCGAAAATTCCCAAGTTCGAACCCCTGGGCTTAGATAATTCCAAAATCTAACAACTGCTGCATTGTAGTTGTTTTTTTTTCTGGGATGGACAATGGCTATAGAAGCAAATTTAAAGAAAAGCAGGCTGAAATCGAAATCAACGGCCTTTATAACGCATAGCATGTTAAGGTGTTATACTTGATTGTACCGGTGAAATTCCTTCCAGCATTACAATTTAGAACGAAGAAGAAGATGCACTTTCTAACAAAGGAGCACACTGAACAAGTTCAGGCAATATTCACGCAGACGTGTATCATACTAGCATCCAGCAACTGAATGGGTTTTTACTAACACACAAAGTTCGTTCAAAACGTATCATACAATACTATCCTTTACAAGTTCGAAAACGATAAATGTGGTAATTTCATCACATTTACCGATAAAAAATTAGCTACTTTAGATTTGCATGTAACATCATATTTGTCACACGGGAAACTTGTTTCACGTTTTATTTGAATACTAATTTTCTTAGCCATCCTATCTATCAAACCATTTCGTACAGAACAATATCATCAGTTTCTCATTTATCTAGAACAACAATTTCGTATACAGTGGTCTATATCAAGTAATAACAACTGTAACATCGAAAGATACTTCCTACGTTATTAAGTATTTTTCAAATAAAATTAGTCGGTCACAGAGTCAAAAAATCGTATGTAAGTTGTTTGGAAATTATACTCATAGGCAGTAATTACAGGTTTCATTAATGTGTCTGTTGACGTAATATTTACATAGCTGCCACACCTGCTCTGACATGTCACAGTGGATGTACACAGTGGATGTACACAGTGGATGTACATAGTGGATGTACACAAGTAACAGTAACAAGACAGTGATCATGTGTCCAGTCCACTCCCCGCCCCCACGCCCCCAGGGGTTTGTTTAGTTGGAATCTCCGGTGTACACGTGTAGCAGTAATAAGACTGGGACTCTACACCCCCACACCACCCAGAACACATCCAATCTCTCCCTCCCCCCCCCCCCCTCCCCCCACTCTACCATATAAAACATCATTACTTGCGCGTTATTACTGTCCGTGGTCGGCTTTTAGAGGTTTAACCAACTACCCGTGACCAACAGTTACCGCCGCCACATAAAGTGATGGAGCATTTGCTTGCGCTTTAAGCCAGTTATCTCCGTATTATTGAATATAACCTTCTTTAAAATAAGTTTAAATTACTAAATTAATATCGAATTAAATTAAAGATTATCTTTTTTTTTGTAGTCTTCGTAAATTAATGTATCAGGAAAGTTTAAGAGACTGCTTTGGGTCAAAACTAAATTACAAGAAGTGTCTTAAACAGTATTTCTTCCAGACGTTTTTCTCCGGGGTGGGGGGGGGGGGGGGCACTTAATATTTGTGGGGGGGGGGGCGGACTACATTTTCCGAGGTAGGGGCGGACACTGGTAAAAGTATGTCTTCTGCATAAATTTATAAATGCACAAAATTAGAAATAAAAATTCACTTACAAAAATAACAAAATATTCCATTTCTGAACAGTATGTATCGGTTTATAACAAACCTTTAGTAATACGGAAAAGTGAGTCGTTCCGTGCATCTATTCGTATCAATTGTTCTACAGATTGGAGGTGTCCTAAAAAGTTTCTTGAACTCGGCTTGGTACTTGGAGCTCATCCTATAGAACAGTACAATGTTGATGTTAGAGTTGATGGCGATGGACAAAAAGGTGAAGGTTGCCGCGGCCTGGTACGAGTTGGCCAGTTTCCCCGTAGGCGCTGAACTCCGGCACCAAAGCGGCCACTGAGGTAACGAACACGCTGTTGGTGTAGCAGGCGATCATGACGCAAGCCAAGGCGATCACCATGGTAACGGTTTTTTTTTTCTGACGAGTCGAAAAACTTTCTGTTTTATCTTTATCGGGCATGGCTTTGCGGCGCCATTTTGATTTTTGTTTGAGAACTTTAATTAAAATGGAGGTGAAAATGATCATACCGATGAAAGCAGTGACGGTGAAGATGGCGTTTAACCCGGAAGTCAAACCTTCAAGAGGTGGTCTGTTTGTTCTGTATACAAGTCCTATTATTGTTTTGTTTTGTGACGGAAAAAACTTCCAATCAAGATACAGAACACAGTACTCAGGGATGAGGGTCATGAAGTTTATAACGTAAATCAAGACCAACACGACGACAGCTCTTCTGCTTGTGAAAACAAGTTTGACCTTTAGAGGTATTGTAATAGAGAAACACCTCTCTGCTGTGATGTAGACGGTGATCCAGCTAACGACTCGGTTAACACAGACATTTGGCCAGCCCGCTGTTAGAAGTTTGATTTCGTTAAAGACTATAGGAAACCCCGACCTATCCATGAAAGGATAAACGCAGATAACTCTCCACAGAAGAAATAGAAGATTAATCAACATCGTCATTGTCAGAGCAAAAAAACTGATGTTCATGGAGTTGTTTAAACCGTGTCTGTAGAATACACAGAGATTGATGACGTTGGCCACCAAACCGGAAACGGCAAGAATTGAACAGATAATGACCACATTGACCAGGCTGAAGAACTCCATAGTAATTGTGCCGATGATGTCAACTAGACCACCCACTTCAATGGTCGCATTCATTGTGGTTATTGCGGTGTAACTACCACTGGTCATTGCGTTGTAACTACCACTGGTCATTGCGTTGTAACTACCACTGGTCATTGCGTTGTAACTATCGCGAGTTATGGCAAAAATTTCTTACTTCGATTTCATTTATTATTTATTAATTTTTTTAGCCTCATCCCCCGCCCTTTTTTAATTAGTTAAAAAGACATTTCTGCTGATTTAAAATGATTAATAGAAGCAAAAAAATTAACTCAGCTGTTTCCTTCCTATCAGTTTTATGTGTTATCATCGGTGGATCCGGGTTAAGCTTAGTATACAAAAATTTCCAGCAAAATTTCTCCTTAAATTGATTTAATTAAAAAAACGTTATATTTTATTCATATAAAATTATATACATTACTAGGTGATTTTTAGTGTTAGAAAATGTTTATCGTTCAATTCTATACTGTCAAAAATTATGAGAAAATTAACCAACGACTCGTAGGGTAAAAGGTTTGATTGGTTGATTGATTCTCAAATCATTAAAATTTTAGCTAAAAAATAGTTACAAACCCAATTTACATTGAAAACTAAGCCCTTTTTTGTGAGGTACATATGGTATTAACAATTTCTTCCACTATATCTCCTTAAAAACAGTTTTACACTACACATAATCACAAGTAAATCTATAAATTACATCGTTTTACAATGTTAGGCAAAAAAAACCACATACTGACACTACCAAGGTTTCTTATTGCAAGGCCGGCAAAGTGGCGAAGGCTAAAATACCAAATTTGTGAACCATATTCTAGACCAGGGGTCTCCAAACTACGGCCCGCGGGCCGGATGCGGCCCGCGAAGTCCTCTCATCCGGCCCGCTGAGATATTTTTTTCCAAGAAAAATCCTTTGTTGGTGATAGCTAAGGAACTTTGGCCAGAAAAACCAAAGACATGCCTGGAAGAAACTGGCCCCCAAACTGAAATTTGATAGTTAAAGCGGCCCCCGGACTGAAAAGTTTGGAGACCCCTGTTCTAGACTATATTTACCATACGTTTTAAATGTACCAGCATAACAAACTACTTTCTCAATATAATAAGTTGCAAATATCCTACAGTATACACGGATTTGAAACAAAGTTTTATGATAGATTGAAGCGTTGTTTTTGTTAAAAACAATAACGAAAGAAATATTTTACAGAATTAATACTAACGAAATTAAATATTTTAAATATTTTAAAACAAACTGTTACATAATGTGGAAAAAGTTTCTTTCTAAAAAACGAATTTACGTTCTTAAAACAACGCCGAGTATAGTTTCGATTCTCAATTTTAATCGTAAACTTCACCAATAATGTGTCTTTAATTATACTTTACAGAAAACGCAGCTTAAAATTTTTTTTTAAGTAGACAAACATCAAACAACAGAAGTAACTTTGATAATTGCAGTCTTTAGAAAACTTATCTTTAGTTAATAGATGTTTCCCTCTAATTTTAGAGACAAGATCGTTGCGTATTACATTCGAATTGAACAATCGGGTAATTTTATTCGCGAGTCGACTCCCCATAGTTTAGCTGTAACTGATACTTACAAGGAACCTACAATTTATTATGATCAAAGAAACTACTTTTTATTAACACGTTTTTATTAACTCAGCTTCGCGTGTGTTTGTTGTTAAAATTGACATCGAAAATTAGCCCACTTCTGATTGTTCTATAGATCTGAAATTTGGCATGCAGGCTACTTTCGCCTAACAATTTCAGATGCAATCATAAAAACTAGCAATTAGAGACCGTAATTAGCTTAATTTAATTACGCCCTAAGGACCATAAAATTGAGGACATGATTTCTAAAGATACCGACAAGACTGGAGGCCTATTGACACAGTTACTTCGGCCCCAATCGATGTGAGCGCGCTGGCCGTGATCGTATAGTGGTTAGTACTTCGCGTTGTGGCCGCGACAACCCAGGTTCGAATCCTGGTCGCTCAAGATTTTTAGTCCGTGTATTTATAAACACTTAGTCAATTCATACTTAATCAAGTCATTAGATAAAGTAGAAAATAAACTATATAAAAAACTTTTTTAAAAACCACGTTTTTCATGTGTAGCAACGGACTAAAAAGGAGAAAATAAAATACTTAAAAAAAACTTTTTAAAAAACCACGTTTTTCTTGTGGACTAAAAAGTAGAAAATAACTATTTACATACATTTGATGACAAAAAACGTGGGTCGGGCAGATGGGTCGGGAAATTTGATGGTGAACGAACCCACGTTTTTTGTCATCAAATGTATGTAAATAGTTATTTTCTACTTTTTAGTCCACAAGAAAAACGTGGTTTTTTAAAAAGTTTTTTTTAAGTATTTTATTTTATGTGAACATAGATCTCAATAGCTACGTGATTATATTGTAGGTCCGGTAACTCTTTCTAAATGTTCGTATCGTTCACCAGTACTCTGAAATCCACGGGTGGAATTCGCTATAATGACATATTTTAATTTGTATTAACTTTTTACGTCATAAGTCATATTTTAAACCTTATCTATGGTTTAAAAAATTGCTTGAATAGAATTTAAATTTAAAAATTGTGTTTAGTTATTCTAGAAGCATGACTAAGTTTTTTTCTTAAATCTACTTTATAATTCATTAAACGCGACTTCGTAGGAATTTCAGTTCATTTTTAATCAAATGTTGAATAATGTTGATATTTTAGTTTAAATGTTTGCCATAAACTTGATATTTACTTGTTACTTCCCTTACATGAAATGTTTAGAGATATCTATGGAAGAAACGACACAGGTGTTCTAGGTGATCTAACAATGTAGACGCTTTAACTAACCTGAGAGTCTGCAGTCATAAGCCGTTTACACTTGTAAAAAAAAATAAAGAAAACCCAAACTAACGAACCCATAACGAGGTTGTTGTTTTTTTCGTTTCCGACAGAAAAAACTTTTTTTAAAATTATGTACAAATGTTATCGCTATACCTAATCTCAGCTGGGTTTTTAAAAATAATAGTACTAAACTGTGATGTGTACTATTTAAGGAAATCAATCCAATCGTAGGATTATCGCTTTTTTTTTAATTAATTTACTAAAGGGAAAAAACTCAGTAATTTTTAAAGAATTTGTTTAAATAAAGCGGGAGTGATCTCCCCTAAGTTTTCTCAATTATTATTATAAAACACGGCGAGGGATGGCAACTCGGGATATATACATGAATTTTAATCCATTTTTTTTAAATACTTTTTTATAATAGAATAGAATCTCGTAGTAAAAAAAAATTGAGTACTACTACCGGTCACCGGAAATTTTTACAGAAAACAGAGAATTAGATCTTTTACTTATATGTGAAATTTCTACTATCTGTCAGAAACAGTACTCAAGTAGACGGAAAATAGAATAAATTACACTTCCGATTACCGGAAACCGCTGAAACCTCAATATAGAACAAAAAAGTTGATATAATATTTAAATATGAAATCTCATCATCTTAGATGTAACGGTACTTAAGTTACTGTATTTACAGACAAACACACACACACACACACACACAAACACAGACATACGTACACAACTGCAAAACTAACTTTTCCAGTCTCGATTTCGATTTTTTTTTTGCACTATTACAACACTTCCTCTATACTCCGTATAAAATAAAGTAAAAAAGGCAGTGGCGTCGCTAGGTCGGGTGTCACCAGGTGCGGCACTTCGTGATGTCACCCCACCCCCTCCCAGAAAACAAAGTATATAGTATATATATATATATATATATATATATATATATATATATATATATATATATATATATATATATATATATATATATATATATATATATATATATTATATATCTTCATATATATATCTTTATATATATATATATATATATATATATATATATATATATATATATATATATATATATATATATTTATATATATATATATATATATATATATATATATATATATATATATATATATATATATATATATATATATATATATATATATATATACAAATTACTGAATTTATTAATGGGCCAGGCAAAAAAACATTTTTCTTCTGAAAATTTGGCAAATGTTTGCCTTTGTCTCACCCCACTAAATGGTGTCACCCGGTGCGGCCCGCACCCCCCGCCCCGCCCTCGCTACGCCTCTGAAAAAAGGTAATATAAGAATAAAGTGTAACTTCAATATAGTGTGAATCTGAATTTTTCTTGATGATTTGTAGTTTGTTGACAGAGTTTCTTAAGCCCCCCCCCCTTCCCCCCCCCCCCCACCCGAACGAAATGAAATGTATATAATTTATATAGAAAATTATACTTTTTAATTTATATAGAAAATATATAATTTTAACAGTGTCCGGCCCCCCTCCCCCTGATGAAAGTCTACCGCCTCCCCGAAAATTTCAAGTGCCCCCCCCCCCCCCAACCGAGAAAAAAGTCTGGAAGAAACACTGTTTGTGGATAATAGAAAATAGGAAAAACAAAAGGCATGTCGTTTTTTGGATGAAGAATAATTTGTATTTTGTGACGGATAAAGAAGAAATTTTTCTTTGTTTTCCTTATTACTAAGTACAAAAAATTAGGGTTTGCAAAATAGTGATGCTGTTTGTGTTCTTGTCGAACCTTTAACGTTAAGTCGTGTGCAAATTTCAACAGTAGAAACTGTGCAGGGTCTGTTCGGTCTTGACGTACAAGAACATCACAAATAAGTCAGTGACTATTGTGGTACACACTCTGATTAGCATGGAAAAACTGCTGGTTTTTTATCACTGTCTTAATAGGAATAGCAACAAGCTATTTATCTCATACTTTAGATCAGGGGTCTCCAAACTTTTCAGTCCGAGGGCCGCATTAAGTATCAAATTTCAGTTCGGGGGCCAGTTTCTTCCAGGCATGGCTTTGATTTTTCTGAGCGAAGTTCCTCAGCCATCACCAACAAGCGTTTTTTTCCGTGGACATAAAAATCTCTGCGGGCCAGAGGCGTAGCGACCCTTCCCGGCGCCCGGGGACATACTTTCAATTTGGCGCC